AATTTCTATCGGTTATATGATATTATTAAGTAAAAAGTATATTTTTCTAATAATAAATGGAATAGTACAATTCAGCGACCCTCAATATTTTAAAAACAATTTTAAATTTTTTTCGTGTGTATAAGCGCGCCGATTTTTGTAAATACGTACGTCCATACATGATATTATCAAAAAATAAAAACGATAACTATAGTAAATTTAAAGCCAAAGTACCTAAAATTCAATAAAACATTACATTGTGGAGAATATTTTCCTAAATTTTTAAGATTACTGGGTAGCTAAAAATTATATAAAAAGGTGCTCATGTTATATTCCTCACGTAATTTTTACAGATATGCCCCAGTAGAAAAAACTTCCGGCTGTCAGTCAAGCTGTCAACCTGTCAACATCTTAAATACCTACCTCGGTATTAAAAGATGTATTTCTACGATATTTTAAACTAAAAGTAATATTTGTTTCAAATCAAACTAATTAAACTTTAAATCAGCTAATATTCCACAAATAAAGTTTCAGAAAAGTATATTTTATTTTTTAAAGTTTTTTTAATAAAGAAAATTACATTGTGCTGACAGATTGCTAATAATGGCGATTAAAATCAGCGATTTTTAGTAATTTAAAAAACATTCTAGTCAATTTAAATTAGTTTTGAAATGCAGCAATGTATTTTGCTTAATGGAAATATTGAATTTAATCTATTGGGTTGAAATTAAAGCTAAAATAAAAGCTTCGAGAAAGATTTCTTATTTTTTTTTAAATTCATTTTATAATTTAGGTATCGTGTTTCTTTGGGGGAATCTATATAACAGTAATACAAAAATTAAAATGAAAGTAATTACTGGCCAAATTTTAATAATAATTATTGGACAATGTTTTAACTGATAAAAATCGGTTTATATAAATTCCCTAAATTACTGATTCTAAAAGAAACCTATTTTTTCGATCATATGATTTGATGTCATGTATCGAAAGGAAGATATATATTGACTAAAGACATTTACACGTTTTGAACAAATGTATTTATATTATGATCGAAAATATTTACCAAATACTAAAATTGAGTAAAAAAAAAATTGTTCACAGCAACGAAAAAGAATGGTTCTCAGTTTCTTCATATCCACTGCTCTTATTCAGTTATTTGCATATATTGATATCATTCAGTGATTTAAGTGCCATACGTGATACACGTTTGAGCGATCATGTCTTTTCCGATTCATGACTGACGAGGCAGGAGCACCACGACGTGGTATAATGGTTCAGTTGTGCCATGCGTGATACAGTTTAATAGGCAAAATCTTTTGATACATGACTGACGATACAGGATACCACATTTTTTTATAATGGTTCAGTCAGTTATGTGCCATGCGTGATACACACTTAGGCGATCAGGTATCTTTCGATACATGACTGACGAGGAAGATTTTTCCAGCAGTAGGTTGCCATTTCTTTCTGCAGTAAACCAGTTGCCATCCAGGGCTATTGAATCCGGTTTGTCCTACTATTTACCCATAGCTGGGAGGGAAAAGAAGAGGATTCATACCTTTCCCAAGGTTATTAGCATGTAAGTGAATGTAATGGATTCCATAGGAATTCGAACTCGGCCCTCCGATTCCTCAATGCAAGCAACTATCCATTATTCCACCGTGCCTCCTGGTATAATGGTTAGCAAGCTTGAATAACAACAAATACTGCTGATTAGTGAGTTCGAGCCTCACTGCGTGCCCCATACTTTCGGTCTTGCGCCACATCTATGCTACGCTTATAAAATCACCATGACTGACTAGGCAGAAGATTTTCCTGCAGTCGGCTGTCGTTCCTTTCTGTGGTAGATTGGTGCCCAACCAAGGTTATAACACCCAGTCTGTCCTGCTATTCAACCTATAGCTGGGGCGAGCAGAGATGGATTCGCACCTTTCCCAAGGGTATTTGTGCGTAAGTGAACGTAACGGACCCGGTAGTTATAGAAAATGAGATAAAAGGACGAACCATCAACAGCAAGTCTGGTTATCAGCAAGAGAAAAAGTTGAAGGTGCAAGTTACAAATTAGAGATGTCAACATCAAGCAAGTGCAGGAGTTTAAATATCTGGGAAGTGTTTTAACAAAGGATGGAAAATGTGACACCGAAATCCAAACACTCATTGGACTCACAAAAGATGCATTCCAAAAGCTAAGCAATGTACTGAAGAACAGGAAAAAAACAAACAAAGAAAAGAGTGCTGGATTGCTATGTGATATCCATCCTCTTATATGACAGTGAATGCTGGACAGTCTACTCACAAATGAAGAGAAAACTGGAGGAAACAGATATGAGATTCTACAGAAGAATACTGAGAATTCCATGGACAGAGTGAGTAAGCAATGAAGAAGTCTTAAAGAAAATAGCAACAAAAGAATATTTGTTCTTACAATCAGGAAGAGAAATCTAAAATTCTTTTATTTTTCTCCCTTTTTAATGTATTTTTTTTCTCATATTCTTTCACACTCAGTAACCTTTTCCGTTTTAGTGACTTTTTCGCCTTGCTTGGAGTGAAAAATGAAAGGGGCATAAGACAAGGATGTCTTTTCTCCCCAGCTTTATTCAACCTTTACAGTGAAGCTATAGGAGCTGGAGACCCTATTAGGATTTATTATTAGTGGTCGAAATCTTAACAATATAAGATACACAGATGACACTGTGTAGAAAACTACAAGACCTCTTAGACAGGGTAGTAAAAAAAAAAGGTGAGACAAAAAGACTATCAACTGCAAGACGACAGAAAGTCCGGTCATCAGCAGGAGAAAAAACCCAAGATGCAAGTTACAAACTGGAGATGTCAGCATCAAGCAAGTACAGAAGTTTAAATATCTGGGAAGTGTTTTAACAGACGATGGAAAATGTGACACCGAAATCCGAACACGCATTGGAATAACGAAAAAAGGCATTGCAAAAGGTAATCAAAGTGATGAGAAACATAACAAGAAGGACAATTTCCCCCACGGATGAGGAGAAAAATTAGAGGCTTCAGAAATATGGTCCTACAGAAGGATAGTGAAAATTCCATGGCGAGTAAGCAAGAACTCCTGAACAAAATGACAACAGAAAGAACACATCTGCTCAGAATCCGGAAGAGATAGCTGAAATTTATTGGAAACATAATAAGAAAGGGTGGCTTGGGATACTTAACCCTCACAGGACATATTGAGAGCAGGTGAGATAAGAGAAGGCAGCGTGTAATCTACCTGACTGGTTTATGTAACGGGATGGCGGAAAGGACAGTAGAGCCTAAGCAAAGGGAGAAATACAGCGGTGATCTACAAAGGATTGGGAGTTTTGAAGAGCCATAATGAGCCATGTCTTGAAAAGATGCGGCACAATAGGAATAAGAATAGTGAAATTTTCTATCCCATTTCATAGCTCCAGTAGGGGGTGGAGCGTTACTACCCATAATGAGAATAACTAATCTAATCTAAACGCGCTGTAATAAAAACGTTGCCATTTTGATATTTTTTAATCATTTCGCACTAAGCAAGGCAATAAAGTCACTAAGACACAATGGGTTACCGATTGTTAGAGAATATAAAAAAAACTATTGAGAGAGAACAATAAAAGAACAGAAATTACGAAGGTAAAAGATAACGATTGACATTGCATTTAAATTTTTGAAGATCAACTAGGCTGAAAATCAAAAATCCACGATCCACGATCAAGAAGTGGGATAGAAGAAACTGTTAGCATAGGACTTTAAATCTATTAAATCTGCGATTAAATCCAGCTATTTCAACTGAAAAATGATGAGACCTTGCAGCCAAACTAGTACTGCATTTAAATTCATAAAGTCTAGGTACCAAAGAGGAAAGTATTTTTTATTTTGTTTTAATACAAAAATGTGACACAAATCCAAAAGGGAGGGATGGGAAAGGCTGGTCTTCAATCTGTCTTATCTTAAACTTAGTTAATCGCGATTACTTACCTAAACATACCACAGTATTGCTTGCACCAAAACAACACATTCTTACTTAAGATTCTTACTACAGTCACCTTAATACCACAAATTCTCTATGTAGTCCTAATGAGTTAATATGTACAATTTTTTCTGTGTGGATGGGGAATAAAAAAAATAGAAAAGAAAATATTTATAGAAAACGTATGGAAAATCTAAGCTATGGCGGTGGGGAAGTGACTGAAGCTAACCCATGAAAGAAACAAAGAAACGTTCTTTTGCATTTTGTGGATCTAAAATGTGCTGCTAGCGATTCATTATGGAAATAACCTAAAATGTGTTGTTTTTTTTTTTTGTTGTTTTTTGGGTTTTTTTTTTTTTCTTCGCCTGATAGCGGTCGTTATCAAAGCAGAATTTACCATCAGCATTTCCTACTTCTCACCTTGCAAAGCTCTTTCGCAGAATTCTGCCAATTTATAAGCAAGGTTACCAGCCGTTGCTCAGATTGAATAATTTTTTTTATTAATCCATTTGGTTTCGATTTTCATTTTCTCTTTCCTTCGCATTAAACTTGTAACTTGTGAAAATAACCCGTCTTAGTCTCTAAATGCAATTCCGAACAAACTAGACACAAAAAAGAGGAAAATAAAGGGAAAGACATTGTCCTTTGTAGAGTTCAGAATTTGCACCGTTATATATGCATCTGAATAGATAAAAAAAGTGCTTATATAGATTAGAAAATACCAGTAGAGAAGATGAGTACCCAACATATCACAAGGATTTGGAAACACACTATTACAGTGAGTTCAAAAGTAAATCTGTGCTCCCCTTACTAAGATCTTGTGTCAGACTAAAATAAACTGAACAAATAACAATCCTCGTAGAAAGTAAATAATAATTACGAATTACCACATGCACAGAGAAAAAGAAAGAAAGAAAGAAAGCATTACATCTTAGAAAAAGGAAACAGTTACTAAAATAAAGACATTTAAAAACAAAAATAGAAAGAAAGAAAGAAAGAAAAAAAGAATGAAAGAAAGTGTTACATGAAAAAATAGAAACAGTTACGCAAATAAAGACATTTAAAAACAAAAATAGAAAGAAAAAAGAAAGAAAGAAAGAAAGAGATACATCTCAGAAAAGAGATAGAAATAGGTGTTGAAAGAAATATGTACAAAAAGAAAAATAAAAGAAAGAAAGAAAGAAAGAAAGAAAGAAAAAAGGCGAGAAAGATGGATAGAAAGAAAGAAAGAAAGAAAGAAAGAAAGAAAGAAAGAAAGAAAGAAAGAAAGAAAGAAAGCGTTACATATAAGAAAAAATAGAGACAGTTCCTAAAATAAAGACATTTAAAAACAAGAAAGAAAGATGGAAATAGGTGTTTTAAAGAAATATATTCAAAAAAAAATAAGAGAAAGAATGAATGAATGAATGAAAGTAAGAAAGAAAGAAAAAAGCGTTACATCTAAGAAAAGAGTCAGAAAGGGGTGTTTAAAGAAAGACAAATTTAAAAACAAAAATAGAAGAAAGAAAGAAAGAAAGAAAGAAAGAAAGAAAGAAAGAAAGAGATACATTTAAAAAAAAGAAATAGGAAGAGTTACTTAAAGGACGACATAAAAGCAAAAATAGAAAAAAGAATGAATGAAAGAAAGAAATATATTTAAGAACGAAAACCAAAGAAATTTATTTTAAAAAAAAAAAGAAATATTAAAAAATCAAAATAGAAAGAAATCAATACGCATAAGAAAATACTTAGAAAGAGGAACGCATTAGCCATATTTTAAACAAGATTAAAATAAATAAATATATTTAGAATTGCAATATAAAGATATATTAAAAAGAACGAAAGACATTAAAAAGTCAAGAAAGAAAGAAATCAATATATCTAAGAAAAGAGATAGAAAGAAGTACTTAAATAAATTTTTAAAATATAAAGACTTTTTAAAAAAGAAACAAAGACGTATTAAAAATAAAATAAAAGAGGAAAGGAGAAATTAATCAATATATCTAAGAAAAAGAAATAGAAAGCGAACTGAAATGAAATATATTTTTAAAAAAAAGAATACTAGAAAGAATTTATAAATGAAATATAAAGATGTATTTAAGAGAAAGATGTATTAAAATGTCAAGAAAAAATAAGGAAATCAATACATCTAAGAAAAGAAATAGAAACTTAAAGAAAGACATGATTAAAAACAAAAATAGAAAAAAGAAAGAAAAAATAGAGAGAGATACAAAAGCTGTAATATATCAACAACTGGATTTGATTAATTCAGCTTTAGCACTGAAAACGCTTATTTTATTGTAGTGGATGGTTACAAGCGAGAGGGGAGACGGGATGTGCTTATTTTATTGCCACAACATATGAGAAAATAAATAGAAAGAGATACCTAATGAAAAAATATTTAAAAAACAGAAATGAAAGAAAGAAAGAAAGAAAGAAAGAAAGAAAGAAAGAAAGAAAGAAAGAAAGAAAGAAAAAAGAAATAGATATATTTAAATATGAAATGTAAAGACAATTTAAAACAAAGAAAGATCCATTAAAAAAAAAGAACAATAAAAAAGAAGGAATGATAGAAAGAAAGAGGGACATCTAAGGAAAGAGATACAAAGGTGCACTTCAAGAAAGACATATTTACAAACAAAAAATCGAAGAAAGAAAGAAAGAAAGAAAGAAAGAAAGAAAGAAAGAAAATGATACATTTAAAAAATGTATTTCAAAATAAAAACAGAGCACAAGAACTACACATTATAAAATAATTAGAAAGAAATAAAATCTTAGAAAGAAAGAAAGAAAGAAAGATGGAAGAAAGAAAGGTAGAAAGAAAGAACGAAAAAGAAAGAAACAAACAAACAAACAAAGAATGAGTCAAGAATAGGGCGAACGAGAAGAATGAAAAAGAGAGAAATAATGAAAGAAAGAAAGAAAGAAAGAAGGAAAGAAAGGAAGAAAGATGGAAGAAAGAAAGGTAGAAAGAAAGAACGAAAAAGAAAGAAAGAAAGAAAGAAACAAAGAATGAGTCAAGAATAGGGCGAACGAGAAGAATGAAAAAGAGAGAAATAATGAAAGAAAGAAAGAAAGAAAGAAAGAAAAAAAAGAAAAGAAAGAAAAAAAGATGGAAGAAAAGAAAAACAAAGAAAGAAACGAAAAAAGAAAGAAACAAACAAACAAAGAATGAGTCAAGAATAGGGCGAACGAGAAGAATGAAAAAGAGAGAAATAATGAAAGAAAGAAAGAAAGAAAGAAAGAAAGAAAGAAAGAAAGGAAGAAAGATGGAAGGAAAGAAAAGAAAGAAAAGAAAGAAAAAAAGAAACAAACAAACAAAGAAAAGAAGAGGGCGAGCAAAGAATAGGAAAAAGAGAGAAATAATGAAAGAAAAGAATGAAAAAAGAGAGAAATAAAAGGTAAAAGAAAATAAAGAAAAGAAAAAGAAACAAAAAAACAAAAGAATGAAACTCAATAGAATTGAGAAAGAATGAAAAAGATTAAAAATGAAAGAAAGAAAGGTAAAATCAAGAAAAAGAACGAAAAAAGAAAAAAAAAACAAACAAACAAACAAACAAAGAATGAGTCAAGAATAGGGCGAACGAGAAGAATGAAAAAGAGAGAAATAATGAAAGATTAATAGAAAATCTTACAATTTAACAAGATAGAAAGAGAAAGCGAAGAGAATGAGTAAAGAACGAATGTTCGAAATGGTCTGGAGAGTTCCCAAAAACACCTCTTCCCATTTCTGTGCATTAGAGAGACAATGTGGAGGTAAACACAAAGTTATGTGGGTCACAGGTGAGAAATGAGATCGATTCTTCTTGGTGAAGTCAAAATCAGAACAGGAATCAAATGAAGACCAGAGGTGGGTAAAAGACAGATATTTGATATTTTATTGACAATGCAATGTCAAAAATAACAAAATAAAAATGAAAAAAAAAAAAAAGAAACTTCAGTCATGGTCGATCTCCCACTACTATGTTTTCATTTATTACCTCCCCTTTTTAGACTTCTCATTCATTACCTCCCCTTACTCACCCAAACACCTTTTGAATTCTTTAGCTTCATGTTTTTGTCGCTATTTTATTTTTATTTCATGCATACCCTTTTACATTCCTTTTATTTTTGTTTTTTCTTTTCTTTCTTTTATCAAGGTTTATTTTTTGCTGTGAACTTTTCACACACTCCCCACCACCACCTTCTCCTCCTTCCTAATTTCTTTTCATTGGGTTTCCGCTTGTTTCTTTTTGTCTATCTCTTTTTCATAATCTTTCTTTCTTCTCGCAATTGATACGTGGCTCCCTTCTCCAGCTCTTCTCCCAACATCATTATTTATTTTTTTCTTCCTCCTTTTTCTCCTTATTCGTTTAACAATTTTTCATGTCATATCGGCTTTTTTTTTTCTCTCTCTCTCTGTCTTTTCTTTTCTTATTTCTTTATTTTCTGTTTTTCAAAATCTGATTAATTTCCGACTAAATCCATTCTTTCTTGACTCCCACTGTCTGTCTATATATCTTTCTCTTACACTTTTTCTTTTTCCCTTTTTCTATTTCTCTCTCTCGCTCTCTTTCTCTCCCTCTCTCTCACTTTCTCTCTCTCATTCTCTCTCTCTCTCTCACACTTCACTGTTTGTCTTCCTCGTCCTTTTCATCGTAAGCTAACGATGACAAGGACGAAAATCTTTTTCATCTTTTTTTCTTTTTCTTTATAGCGTTTTCACTTTCTGTTTTTCATTTTCTTTTTTTTTAAATCTTTTCCTTCACTCGTTTTCTTCCTTTCGCTGTTTGTCTGTCTGTCTGTCTCTCTCTCTCTCTCTTACTCTCTCTCTCTCTTACTCTCTCTCTCTTTCTCTTTCTCTTTCTCTCTCTCTCTCCTTCATGGTCGCAATTTTTACCTACGGTTTTATACATTTTCAACTACATTCTTTCTTTATCCTCCATTCTCTCTCTTCATTCTCCTCCTTCTCATCCCTCTCCCTGATCATTTTCCTTTCTCGTTCGTTAACACCGGTTATGTTATTTATTTATTTTCCTTCCACATTACTCTTTCCTTTTCTCTCTTTCTTTGTTCCATTCTTTTCTCCTATTTCCATTTCTCTATCTCTCCCCTCTTTTTCGTTCACTTTTTTGTTTATTTTTCCTTCTTTTTTATCTTTTCTTTTTCTTTCACTTGTCTTTATTTCCCTCTCTCTCTCTCTATATATTTATATATATATATATATATATATATTTAATTATTTTAAATTTATAACATAATTATATGTTAAATAAAATCACTACAAAATAACCATTTTTGTAGTGATTTTATAACATACTTATGTTATAAATTTTTATAAAAATAATTATATCTGCTTTATTTGTATTGAACCACTCTTTTAAGAATAGTAATTGTTGGTTATTGGAATTCATTCCGTGTATACCAATTATATACTTTGATATATATAAATATATATATATATATATATATATATATATATATATATATATATATATATATATCTATAAGATAATTTTCATTTCTCATTTTCTCTGTCTCGTTGTCTTTCTCTCTGTGTCTCTCTCTCTCTCTCTCTCTCTCTCTCTCTCTTATGTTTTCCCTTTCTTTATCTCGTTCTTCACGTTATTTTCTCACATACTTTGTCCTTTTTCTCTTTCATTTTCTCTCTTCGTTTCCACTTTCTTTTTCAGTTCTCGTTCTCTTTCTTTTTTTCTATTTTTCCCTCATCCTTCTCTTTCTCTTTTTCTGTATCTTCTTCTCTTTCTCCCTCTCATTTTTTCTTTTCTTTTGTTGTTCTCTTCCCCTTTTTCACCATTTCTCTCTATCGTTCTCTATCGTTCTGTCTCTCTGTGTCTTTTATCTATCTCTCTCTCTCACACACACACACACAAACACACTCTCTTCAGTCATTCTCTTTTCTTTTTCTCAGCCTCGACCTCTCTCTCTCTCTCTCTCTCTCTCTCTCTCTCTCTCTCTCTCTCTCTCTCTCTCAATTACCAGAACCTAAATCCAATGCAACAAGGAATAACAGATATTCATACTACGTGGATATCGAATATTTTACAAGGATCAAGTTGACTGCTAACAAAAGCTTCTTTTACACTTCTTAGAAAATAGAGTATTCATCTATTGGGCATGTTTAAGGGCTCGGGTATCATCCAGACACGACTTAATGCATTTTCAGTCAGTCTTGAAAGTCATCATTTCATATTTTTTTAGATCGCCTAAACGATTGACAGACTTAAAGAATGAAATAAATATTTAATTTACAATCAAAAACTTGGTTGAATTTTTCAATTAAAAATTTCAATAATTACTTAAATCCTTATCAAAAAGTTTTGCCCAAGATGGGAATTAACAGAAATGTTTTAAAATTAAGATTCATTCGCGTCATTCGTATAATATTGTTATAAGACCAATTTTAGACATATTTTAGATAAGTCATTAACGAATAAAGCACCATAAAACTTAGTGAAAAGATAGATAGATAGATAGATAGATAGATAGTAAACAGTCATAGATAGATAGATAGATAGATAGATAGATAGATAGATAGATAGATAGATCACTTTTTTAGCTAACTGTTAATTCATTGGTTATCTGACATAGTAAAGGGAACACAGAAAAAGAAGTTACTGTGAACATATTTATAGAGAATGGGCTCTACTGTATTTGCGTGTTCGCTGAATATAAGACAGTAGTAATATCACTAATGATATTCCTGCTGCTAATAGTTATGTCTCAGTTATATTATTATATTGTTTTAAAATTAAAATTTACATTTAAAATTATTTTAAAAAAAAAACAGAGAATATGAAGAGGTGACGATAATTGTCAGAATAATAGAACGTATGCGATATCTTTTACAGGCAACACACACACATATATATATATATATATATATATATATATATATATATATATATATAGAGAGAGAGAGAGAGAGAGAGAAGATGGAGAATCGGGTTTAGCCAGCTTATTGAAAGTGGAACAGGATAAAATAACTGGTGACCCAGGTTCAATAAGGCACACCCATTTCATGTCGTCTTGATCGGATGAATGGTCGTACGCTTTCCCGCGAGACTTTGCTTCCTCTTACGGCCACGTCATTTCTCCACCAAAATGTGCATTCCTTGTTCTTTTGATTTAAATCGTCAGGACAACTACATCTGAAATGTTGTAAAGAAGAGGATCTACTAGCGGCATCGCAATACAAAGGACTCATTGCACGTCGACATCGTGTATATGATGGCAGGCATAATCGGAAACTACTTCATACCGAGGCTATAACGTAACCTTTCTTTCTGAGAATCTATCTATATTTCTGAGATGAGGTATTATGTACAGTATTTACATTAGTCGGACTATTGTCCTCATCTTTGTCGTCATATTTGTCACAACGTTTCGGCCATTGGAAAATTCGAAAACTTAAGGAGCCAGCACATATGCTAGGCCACAAAAATCTCCTGAGCCGACCAAGCATAGAAATAAATACAATATGGGAACCAGTAATAAGTAGTGCCAGGGAAAAGCAATGATAACAAAGTTGCAATATGAACTCTGGTGAAAGCATGCAATGATAACATCAAAAATTGCAATATGAGCACTGGTAAAAATGGTTGCTGAAAACATTAGGTTTATAACAACTAGAAATTCCTGCCCAGATGTCCTCAAGGACACATGGCATAGTGGATAAAGGCGTTGGTTAGATCCAGTGACAGACCCAAAGAATGTGAGTTCAATACGGCAGTGGAGAACTTTCAGAGGGAAATTTAACAGGAGATAACTGATAACTGACATCCATCAAACATGGCACGTGGAACTAGAACAGTCTACCCCAGTGATCGAAATAAAGGGTTCAGTTCGAAATTCCAATCACCTGAAGAAGGCCGGAGCGTACAACGGCCGAAACGTTGTGACAAATATGGCGGCAAAGATGAGGACAATAGTCCGAATAATGTAAATACTGTACTTTCTTTCTGAGTTTGTCTTTTTTTTTCTATTTGAAACATGCTACAATTCTTTTAAAGTAACGTACTTGTGTTTTCGGTTGGATATCATTCTTTTTGTTTTTATCGCAATTTATGTGGTTCTACAGAAAGATACTGAGAATTCAATGGACGGAGCGAGTAAGCAACGAGGATGTGAAAGAAAATACTAACAAGAAGAACACTTATACTTAGAATCATGAAGAGACAGCTAAAATTCCTTGGGCAGATATTGAAAAAGGAGCGCTTGGAAAACTTAACACTCACAGGGCATATTGAGGCCAAGAGAGATAAAGGAAGCTAGCGAGCCACCTACCTGACGAGATTGTGGGAATGAATGACATATCGAGGGGGGGGGAAAATTTTACGGAGAAAAAAAAAACTTAAAAAATGTTAAAGAGATAGAAATTTGTGGAGAGCCATGATCGCCTATGTCCTGACGGAAGGCAGTATATAGAGGTTCTCAATTACTTGCTACATATTTAAAGTCATGAGTATGGAATTGAAACAGTATATACCTACCTGTAAATGTGCAAAATAAGTAAATATTCCTTGCATATAACTGTTCGTTGAAGTGAAGAGACGTTTTTATCCGATTTTCACGCCATGTTCTCGACTTCTACGTCCTAGAGGCGGTGAAGACCATAGGGTCAGCGTCACAGCCAACATTGCGCAAAGTGGGAGGGACCTTAAGCGTTATAATAGTATCCTGCTCCCTCGCACATTAAGCAATATATTAATATAGACAGGGTGCGATGGATAAATTGTCGTCTAAATCACGTAAAAAAAAAAAAAAAAATGAAAATAACACTGACATCTCATTTTAACAGATATATTTACCAAAATTACACAAAATATATCTGGAAACACTAAAGAATAAATTTATTCAATAAAATCGCCATTTGCTTCAACCACGGCCTCCAGGCGACTTTGCAATCTCTTGCATATCTTCTGGACGTTCTACTTCTTTAAGTTGGTGAATGCTGTCATTACCTTTAGTTCATTTTTGCTATTACAAGTTTTGTTAGTCTCTCACTCAAATGCACCCCAGACATAATGATCAAGGAGGTTGTCATCTGGGGAGTTAGATGGCCAGATGTAAGGAGTGATGTGGTCGCAGAAATTGTATAACAGCCATGACTGGGTTCTCCTAATGGGTGACATGATACAGAGTCCTGTTGCCAAACGTAGGATATTCCAGCAGCCACCCTCTTGATTGAGAGCATCACTGCCTCCTCGGGGCACTTGATTTAGGCTTCCGTATTGAGTCTGAGACTCTGTGGCAAGCTGAAGGTAGCCATCACTAGTGATCACTCCAAACACCTTCGTAATCACCATTAGACTCATCCAAATATTTCCGAGTCCTCTGCCCTGTCCTCAGATTGACATCCAAACACTTTGATTGATTTATTGATTGATTGATTTATTGATTGATTGATTTATCGATTCATTCATTCATTTGTTTTTTTTTTACGACTTACCAAGATTTTACCGAAATATATTTTGGATTGTAAAAATAATTCCTTTTTGCGATTGAATATTGCATGAACAATTTTTGAGACTAAAAATGATTTCCCAGATACAAGTCCTATTATTTAACCCGTAGCTGGGGGAATATGGATTCATATCTTTTCCCATGGGTATTTGCGCATGAATGAATGTAACGAATCAGGCTGTATCAAAATCGAACAGTCATCGTATATATATATATATATATATATATATATATATATATATTATATATATATATAATATATATATATATATATATATATATATATATATATATATGATATATATATATATATATATATATATATATATATATATATATATATATAAATATGACGTTGAAAATTTTTACCGTTAACAATTTTTTTTTTTTAAATCCAGACGACATCCATTGAACTGATGTTAGGTTTCATTGTAAAATACATCCCTACCCCTTACCAAATTGTAGCCAATAACTGATACAATGATACTGACATAAGGAAAATCTAGACATCCCTTGTTCAATTTAAGTAGAATATTCTGTAACCATGGAAACGTGATTTTAGCTGTGTCTTTAAAACCCGGTAATTTTTAAAAGTTACTCCAAAATTCGCTTGAAGATGAAATGGAACTAATGCTTTTAATTTAATTGCAAAATTAAATTCGGGGTTTTTAGCTTCTATTTTTGAAACATGGTTGGAACTATGTAGCGAAAAAAAACCATATTTTAAATCAATTAATTTATAATATATATATATATATATATATATATATAATATGAAAAAATCGTAGCGAGAAAGTATCTATTTCTTGAAAGAGTAGATAGAACCTTTCAGGGTTGTGATGCTTTCTGTAGCCGTGAGGTATGAAGCAAACTTTGGTTTCACCTACAAAACCGGTTACGGGTTCAAAACCTGAAGAGCGAATTTTCTTTTAAGTTTTCTCGAGCGTGAGGACCAGAAGATGTTATACACATTGTTTAAAATAAAATAAAAATCGGAGAGTTTACTTCAAATTCGGATATCCAATTATTTATATATATATATATATATATATATATATATGTCCAAAAAATCACTTTGTTATTTAAAAATGTCATAACATGTTCGATTTGTCATACTTTTATTTCAGAACTTATACTGACACAGGGTCGTCATCCATGGTTAAAAGAAAAAAGTACAAAGCTCATGGAATTTTTTTGCGGGGCGGGGCTAACCAATCCATCTAATTTCGTGAAATTCTGTTGACCATATTCTCCTGACCTGACACTTCCTGGTTATTTTTGGGTGATGGGGATACCTTAAGGAGCGTGTACAGATTGCTGGTAAGTCAGCAACCCAAGGATAACATCTATACAGAAACTTCACGGTTAGAGCCAGGATTATTAACCACTTTTACGAGAAATGTTATTGAATGAGTTTGTCTGTCTAAAGTAAAAAATGGAGGATATGTTTCTATACTTAAATAGAAATATATTTCCAGTGTTTGAACTTATATTTCGTAGTAAACTATTTTTGAATAATTAAAAGAAATGTTTAAATTACTAGATTTTTAAATCCCTGAGTGACTTTAGGACACCCCGTATAATGGTCTTGTTATGCATGATGTGTACATACATAGCGGTGGGGTGCTTCTGTGTGTAAATAGACTTGTGATCAGATTTTAATATAAAGGAGACGTACACCGATACAAAAACTTGCATACCTGCAACATGCAGATTGAAAAGAATACCTGGATATGCGCACACTTGTATACAGCGATAATGCTGTAATAAGATGCAAGTTGTATAATTTGATCACCTGACACAGGTGTCAATCAATGGTGAGTTTGAAGTCAAAAAAGGAATGAAAATTAAAGAAAAAGCCGAATTTCGGCAATGCGTTTCTGACTTTACAGGAAAAGACGACAGAAAATATTCAGATCCGATAATACAATAAAGATCTTTGGTTTCTTTGGAAATAAAAATGGAAAGGGAGAACGGGTGGGGAGAAAATAGGTCACGTGGGAAAGAAGAAGACGTAAAGAAACGGAGAAAAATGGGAACAGACTTAAGGAGACCACGAAAAGAAAGAAAGAATATATATCATAAAAAAGATAGGAAAACAGAAAATATTAAGATAAAAATATTAAATAATATAAAAAACAAGAAAGAAAGAAAGAAAGAAAGAAAGAAAGAAAGAAAGAAAGAAAGAAAGAAAGAAAGAAAGAAAGAAAGAAAGAAAGGGTAAAAAGGAAGGGAGATACAATGAAAGAAAGAAACAAATAAACAAGCAAACAAATAAACAAAATAAAGAAATAGTAAAAGAAAATAGCAGAGATACACAAAAAGTAAGAAAGAAAGAAAAAGGCAAGAAAGAAAAAGAAAGAAAAAACAAAGGCATAAAAATGTAAGAAAAAAGGGTAAAACGACAGACACAAAGAAAGACACAAAAAAAGAAACAAGCAAACAAAGAGAAACCAGTGAGACAAAAGAAGAAAAGAAAGTATAACAAGGAATTCGACAAAAAATAAAAAAGGTAGGCAAAGACGGAAGCGAATAAAGACACATTTTAGAAGGAAACTAGATATGAATCACATGATCAAAATATATAGAAAATAGAGAAGAAAGGTACAAATAAAAGAAAAAAAGAAAGAAAGACAGAAAGAAAGGGGAAAAACCTGTCAAATTCCTATACAAGATGTGTAATGATGAAAGATGTATTGATAATGCTATAGCAAGTAAGGAAAAAAGATCCGATCTCGTCTGCATTGAAAGATAACGAAGAAATAAGACCTTTGCTACTCTAATTGGACATCTACACCGTAAACAAATGGTGCTTTTTTTTTCGTCCTGTTGTTTTTATTTTCTTGTTTTAGTGTTTTGTTTTTATTTTTTATCTCCATAAAATGAAATGTCTACGGGGCTAAGATCTTTTTGCGTCTTTACCGCTACAGCTGACACCCGGTCAAATAACTCCGTTGAAAAGAAATTCTAGAATCTTTCTAAACGAAATTCGGGCGATATGCAATGATTTTTCTTGAACATACACACGCGCATGCGCAAATACTCTTGTGCGCAATCAGGCATATATGAACGCACAAAACGTGTATACACATACACATATATGTACGGATATGTACCTGTATACATGTATGGTGCAAGTAACAGGTAATTGAGAATAAATTAATTAGAAAAAAATAAGTATTAATTAGAAATAGAATACCTCGGTTATCAAAGAGAAAAATTTCCAAACGATTTACGCATACAAATCATGAAAAGTGTATTCAATACATTTGCCTTCAGCTTCGTAACATTAAGTTAGGTAGTTTCTAAAGGTGTTTTCTCAAATGCCTGGCGCGCCCTGTGAACACATACACATTATGATAGCGCGTATCTCGGTTTCGTCCATTAAAATCAGGTGAAATTAGCTTTAGACACGGATAATATGAGCGCAATTGTTTTCATCTTGATAAACAGATATTCATCAGACATGCTCAGGTGAACTGAATCGGTCAGACATTAGATTTGGTGATGAAACCATGATATCCCACTTCGATTAGAATATATTTATCATCAAGCCATAAACCATCAACAACTCTGTTGAAAAGACATATACAGATGTATAGGTAACGTGAAGGTTTTCGGCACTTAAATTTGATTCATAGAACCGGTTTCAAATTTCCGTCGATTCTGTTTTGTTCTGTTCGCACTAATGCCTTTGAAAAGAACATAATTTTATTTCTCAATTATTATACGCAATGGAGTGCAACAGTTAACTAAAGGGTTTTATATGGGGTATTAATAAAAGAAAACAATAGATAATGTTAAAACGTCAGCCAAACGTATATACCTCTAGATAAAATATGACCAGTAATGCTAAAGAAATAACATACAAACTATATTACATCGAAAAAATCTAACTTACTAAATATAAGTCTTGAATGTGGTGTATTCAACACCACCACTTGATAAGACACCAGAAGTGTTGAAACAAAATGGCTATTTTTGTAGTGATTTTATAACATTTTTATGTTATAATTTTCGAATAAATGATTATATTTGCTCTACTCTGTATTGAGCACACTTTTAAGAATAGTATTTGTTAGTTATTGGAATTTATTCCGTATACACCAATCTTATACTTATATATATATATATATATATATATGACACAAGGAAGCTGCGTTGCGGCGGTGAGGAAGTGAATGAAGCCGAAATGTCATGTCAGAACCAATAACACTGCAGGAAAAGGCAAGGAAAATATTTAACAAAATAACAAAACAAGTTTAAATTAAATCAAAATATTTAAATAAATAAAGTAATCAAAAGTTACTTACATATATATATTGTTCGCATATTTAATGTCGAATTTTGTATAGGGCACCTAGTGAGGATGGAACTTGCTACTCAGTAGTAATGGTCAACAAGATTCGTTAACAGTTACCCAACTCCAAGACAATTGTTTTTTAGATTTCAGACATATAAAAATATTGCTATGAGAAAGATATAACCTCAAAAGAGAAACAAGTCATCATAACGTTATTGCATGATGGGAAAATGGCTTTTGAAATTGTGGAAATGTTGAACAGAATTTACAGAAGCATCAAAAACAAAAATGAAAACAAAAAAATGGCTTTAAGAATGTCACAGGAAAAGATTTGAAAAAAAATTAAAATTTAAATATTTGGGAAGTGTTTTAACAGAGGGTGAAAAGTGTGACCCGGAAATCCGAAGGCGCGTTTCGAATAGCGAAAGATGCTTTCCAAAAGCTAAGTAATGTATTAATAAATAGGAAATTTTTAAAAACAAATGAAAGAGTACTGAAATGTTACGTGATATCAGTTTTCCTATATAGCAGTGAATTCTGGACAGCCTCCTCACTGATGAAGAAGAGACTTGAAGCAACAGAAATGTGCTTCTATAGAAGAAATACCATGCAACGACGACGTTATAGGGAAAATGGAAAGAAAAAGGACATACACTTGACATCAGAAAAAGACAGTTGAAATTTTTAGGGTACATAATGAGGAAAGAGAGCTTGGAAAATTTGATACTCACAGGACAAATTGAAAGTAAAAGGGGCCGAGGAAAACAACGCACACCTCACCTACCGAGCATAACAGAACAGGGTTTAGGAGAGATAAAAAGACAAGAGTTAAAAAGGACAGGAAATTGTGGCGAGCCATGATCGCCAATGTCCTGAAGGGGCACGGTACAAAGAACAACAACAACAACAACAATGACAAATGAATTAACGAACAAGAAAATAATTGAAGGAGTTAGTGTTGCGAATGAACAAAATAAAACGATAGAGAAGACAAGGAAACACCCATATATCACCTCCCTATATGACACTAAATGTCTGTGATTTCGTGTGTGCTTGCGTGCTTGTGTGGTGCGTCCGTCCGGGGTATAATGATTTACGAGTTGTTTATAGAGCAAGTATTTTTATTTTAACTTTCATCAAACAGACAATTTTTTTAATTAAAAGTATTTTTAAGTTAAAGACAGACACAAAGAGATCCCGCTTTGCTGTTTCGTTCAGTTGTTTCTAGAGTAATTATTTATTTTTCAGCTTTCTTTAAAGAAATAATATTTTAAATATTTAAAAAAATATTTCTAAGTTAATCTGACTTTAAAATATTTTAAGAGAATAAGACTTAAAATACGAGTTGTCTATAGAGTAAGTATTTTTTAACTTTAAACAGAAGAGAATTTTATTAATTAAAATATTTTAAAGTTAAAGACAGACACAAAAAATCCCGCTTTGTTGTTTCGTACAGTTGTTTGGGGAGTAATTATTTATATTTCATCTTTCTTTAAAGAAATAATATTTTAAATATTTAAAAAACATTTTTTGGCATATATAAAAAAAAACTATTTTCAACTGAATATGATTTTAAAATATTTTTTGGCATATTAAAAATATTTTTAACTTAATCGGATTTAAAGTTCCAGTTTATCCCGGAAGTTCTATTCCCATTAAATGCTGTAAACAATCAGTAAAACGTTAAAACTTGTAAACAAGACCAATGATGACACAAACGAATTGAAATATTTGACTGAATCATAATAAAATTAACTTTCATTTCAATGGTTTGTTGAAATCAACTTCAATGTTTTATAACCTGAACCGTCAATGACCCAACGTGTCACGGATAGTCTAGTCATTAAGTAAAGATCAAAAAGAAAAGCACGTAAGTAGAACGAAGAATTATGTGCATGAAAAATTATTTATCAACAAGAATTTTTTAATCATTTCACCCCAAACAAAGCAATAAAGTCCCTAGGATGCAAGGGGGTACTGAAGGTGAAAGAAACAGAACGTGCATTAAAAGAACAGGACTAAAGGAGACATAAGATAACGATTGATATTGCGTTTCAATTTTTTTAAAGATCGTGGTTGACAGAAAAGCAGAAATCCAGAAAAAAACTACCACAAGCGAAAAGTGAGAGAGAAGAAACGATTAGCATAGAATTTACAGTTACATCTAGCCATTTCAACTGTAAAATGGTGAGACTTAGTTTCCAATCTAGTACAGCGCTTAAATTCAATTCATGAAGTCGAGATACAAAAGATGTATCAGAACAATTACCGTGAATATATATATATATATATATATATATATATATATATAGTTTATGAAAAACTAGGTAATCCGTATGGGTAAACCTAAGTAGGATAAAATCCAGAGAGCTCAATGTAAATCCAGAGCAAATAATTTAAATGAAAACAGTAGAAGGGATATAAAGTGTGTAGTAAACTAAGATACAGGAAGAAGTTGACTACTGATCACGTGTCGTAGAACAACAAAAATACAACAGCCTTATTGTGCCTAAGTAATAAATCAAACTTAGCTATTGTACAAATCGGAAACCATAGGGTTTGGTATTATCCACGGTTTTAGGCATTCACGAGACGTCTTGGAATATATTATCCACGGATAAGGGAGAACTTCTTTATTAATATATCGACAGTATGGTAATGTTGCAACAATAATTTTGCCATATTCTACTTGTGCTTTCTAGCATCATATTTAACTTTACTTGTGTTTGAACCGGAAACAAACTCATTAAAGACAGTGTTTTTACCATTTAAGCCACGACCTTAAGACGTTTATTTTTCTTTTATTTAAGATTGACAAAGAGTAGATGACGCACAGATAATAAGGAAGACGCAATAACAACAAACTACGTTTTGACAGATTGTTGGCTCGGAAATTATGCATAAATGCCTTCAGGGAAGATCTTTCATTATTAAGTAGGGAAGCAAGCGGAAAGAATCTGTTTGAATGACAGAAGACAAAAAAAAAAACAGACGCTTGGGGGCGGAAGAAATAACAAATAGTAATTTGAGCCAATTGATGTGAAAGAGTAAAGCCAAGATTGGGTCAGTGAATTGAAAGAATAGACCGGGTGGCAGGTCAAAAAAAAAATGGAGATGAGTGGGGAGAAAGGATAAAAGAAGGTCAATGAAAAATAAGGAAACAACTTCGTTTGAAAAAAAGAAAGAAAGAAAGAAATTACAAAAGAAAGAAACAAAACAAGAAAGAAAAAAGAAAGAAAGAAAGAAATTACAAAAGAAAGAAACAAAACAAGAAAGAAAAAAGAAAGAAAGAAAGAAAGAAAGAAAGAAAGAAGCAAAACAAGGCAGAAAGTTACAAAAGAAAGAAGCAGAGCAAAAAGAAAGACAGAAAGAAAGAAAGAAGTTACAAAGGACTCAAAACAAGAAAGAAAGAGGCATGGAAAAAAAAGAAGTTTCAAAAGAAAGAACGAAAGAACGAAAGAAAGAAGAAAGAAAAAGAAAATAGTTATAACTGAAGAAAAACAAGAAAGGAAAAAGAAAGAAGCAAGAGAAAAGAAAGAATTTACAAAAGAAAGAAAGAAAGGAATTTTTAAAAATCTTTGAAAAATAGTTACAAAAGAAAGAAGCACAAACAGGAAAAGGTAAACGAAAGAAATAGGGAAAAAGAAGTTAATAAAGAAAAACGTAATCAGTGAAGAAAAACAAAAAAGAAAATGAGAAATAAAGAAAGAAAAATACAAATGAGAAGAAATGAAATATAAAAATAATGAACGGTTACGATATAGAATAGACAGAAAGAGAGAAGGAAAATTTAAAGAAAAAAGAAGAAGAAATAAGAAGTTAAAGGAAAGAAAGAAAGAAAATGAAGTGAAAAGCAAAAACTAAAAACGAAAACAAAAAGTTAAAATAATATAGAACGGAAACAAGAAAAAAAATGACCACCATCCTTGCATATTTTCAGCGTAAACATTTGTCGAACACGCGCAGATTCGCGATGACAGTCACGTGTTCTTGCCTCCATTTTGCCTCGAGGTAATTCTCGCTATGACCATGGCTGTGTCTCTTGACGATGCGGTAGATGCGCAAAGTACGAATGAGATTACGGAGACTGTGGCCCACCGCAGTTTGCCCGTGATTTAACAGACGTAGAGACGAGCAGATAAGGAAGTGGACCCATAGAGCGGCTTCGGGCAATCATCGACTTCAATTAAAACAACCACAACCATCCGGTCCGGGCCGTATCTCAGTCTTAGACTTTTAAATTAATCGACTCTGCTTAGTGGCTTAACTACGGCTTCTTATTTTTATTTTTTTATTTTTTAGGCTTTCATTTGGATTTCTTTTTTCGTGACTTATCTCTCATTCTGTCTACCTCTGTAAATCAATTTTGTAGCAAGCCATCTCTGTTTCTTCATCTACGCCAGTATGTCCATATCTATCTCAGTCTATTCATATCTATATATTTATCTCAGTTTGCACATATCTATCTATCTATCCTAATTTGTCAATATTATAGTCGTTCTATTCATTACGGGTGAGTTTCTGATCATACCAATTGATCGAACAGTCTATTTATCTATCTATCTATCTATCTATCTATCTATCTATCGATATATATATATATATATATATATATCACTTCTATCAATCGCAGTCTGTTCCTATTTTTATCTTGAAATATATATATATATATATATATATATATATATATATATATATATATATATATATGTCTGTTTTCTATGTATATATATATATATATATGTATCTATCTTTCTCAGTCTCTTCCTTATCTATCTACCAATCTTTTTCATATCTATCTTTCTATCTAGATATCTCTTTATTTTAACATGTCTGAATATTTTAATAATATATATATATATATATATATATATATATATATATATTATTTTAATATTTTTTAATATATATATATATATATATATATATTATTATTATTTTTTTGAAACATGGTTAGAACTGTGTAGGAAAAAAAAAGATATTTTAAATCAATTAATTTATAATATATATATATATATATATATATATATATATATATATATATATATATACCTACTGATCAATCAATTTTTTTTCTGATTTTTTATGACCACAGATGCGTGATGAAACGCTATTTGACTATCCTCAGACAATCATTTAATTTGCTAGCACAAATCTTCGATACATACGAGTTATGCTCAGAAATTACCCAGTCATTCTGTATAATAGCAGCCAATTAGAGTGAATCTTAGTGTGCATACGCATACAGGCACATCTACAATGAGACTACTCGGAATTTGAAAGATTATTTAAGGGTAAAGATGACGACAAGCCTTGAAAAATCAATATTCGATATCTTGACCTTTACCTGGGCACGAACTCTGGTCACTAGTGCTTGAGGGGACGACACAACTTGTTCAGCCAGCAAGGACGTTTTAGATCAGCAGATTCATATCAAAGTTGGCAATGGATGTAGCAGTTTTATTATTGTCTTCTTATGGAAGTTTTAATCAATCACCCACTTTCTTCTATGTTAATTATCCCGACACGCTAATGACGAGATATTTTAAAGATCTCCGGCAATGGAGCAGAGCCCATGGAAAAGAGGGATCATGCCTCTTTTAAGGTCAATAATGCTTAAATAGTCAGTTATGTGCCATGCGTGATACACGCTTAGGCGATCATGTATCTTTCGATACATGACTGATGAGGCAGATTTTTCCCTGCAGTAGGTTGCCAACTCTTTCTGCAGTAGACCAGCTGTCATCCAAGGCTATAGAACCCGGTCTGTCCTGCTATTTACCCATAGCTGGGGGGAAAGAAGAGAACGTAAATAATTGTAAAGGATTTGATTGGAATTCGAACTCGACTCTCTGATTCCTCAAATCGGTGCCGCTACCCATTACTCCACCGTGCCTTCTAAGTGCTTAGATGACACAGGCATATTCCAACGAAAATTCAAATTCGATTTACAAATTCTGTTTTGTATACTGATAGCAGTTAAGCTCCTTCGAAATGTAGCAGCGGGCACGTTGTCCAACATTTAGAACGGTAGAGTTCTAATCAGGAGGCCCGATTTCGAATCTCACCATATCTGATTTGTCAAGGGGGTGACGATCGCAACGTTTTTTTTTTTCGTTGGGAAATGCCTGACATGGAATTTATATTTGTGCTTATATGAGCATGAAATTCTTTTGATACCAAAAATGGGCCACAAAGAAGAAAAGGTTAGAAACACTGGTCTAGTTAATGTATCCATGTAGGCATAAATAAAAATTCAACCAACTCGTGAAAGTAACAAGACACACATGATTTAAGAAGCAAGACCCGTTACTTTCCCTGCTTTCTTTTGTCATTAAAATTTTATCAAAGGATTGACAAGTTACTTTTAAAAAGTTCCAATATTAACCGGTTATCTATTTGATATTTGAATTTGTATCCTGATTAACCTGACTCATCGGTAGCGGGTCAGAAACATCGGATTTAAAACATTTTATTACCCAGATTATTGTTTTGTTTGTTTGTATGTACAACCATTATACTTTCTTATTTACTTATCTTACCCAAGATTTGAGTAAAGTATCTACCCGATCCCTTGTTTTTCTGAACTGAAATTAATTACCGGGAAATCTACATCCTAGTATTAAGCGGAAATGAATTGGGAAAATGGAAGAAAAACAGGATCTGAAGAAAGAAAGATTACAGACAATAAAGCTAGAGGAGAACGAAAAGAAAACCAGGTGAATGGAAAAAATATATATTCATATGAGAAAGCAGAGTGATGAGGCAAAAGAAAGATGAAAGAGTAGATGTAGTAGAAAGTATATAATGCAGCCTTTATTCTTTTATCACATATAAAACAAATATATGAAAGATTTAGGTTAAAAAGGACAAGGGAAAAAATGAGAAGATACAGAGTGAAGGAAAATCGAAGTCCTGAGAATATGAATAACACTTGTCAACACGATTTTTGGTACCAAGAAACGAAACACATTTTTTAGCCAATTTAATGGTGTTGATTCCGAAAATGGTCTTAGTTTTTCATGGTTAGCTACCATTTTTGCTGTACTGAAATTGCTCTTTTTGCGGGGGGGGAGATCAATTTACAATCTTGGCTGATTGCAAAAGTTAATAAAGTTCGTAGAAACCAATCAGTTTTCAGGTAGGCCAAGTAATTTATGTCAGCATCCTGAAATGAACTATTTTTATAAGAAAAGAGTTTTTTTGAGTCAAAAAATTTAAAGTACCGAATTTTCCAAATTTATCGTCAAAATTCAAATTAACTGATAAACTTTATCAGTAACACACTTTAGTAAACCTGATAATTAAAGTGACATCAAAAAAATGAAACCCTAAAATCTTATGTTTGATATTCATAAATTTATTCCATCACTTTTAGCCCTTCACTACGGAAGGAAACCAAGCATATTGAGAGCATTTTGTTTTCACGGTTGGAAAGAAACTCCCAATAAAGACATCCCAATTGAATTCCATTGTATATGATACTAATGGAGTATCAAAAGGGACTTTAATAACACTGAACATGACAGACAATCAAGAAAGAGAAAAATTTTATGATCGTTCTTATGTTCACAATGGTTTCATTTCTACTGTTAGTTTATTAAATGATTTGATGAAAATACTTGTTGGTCTTTGTATATTCAATCATGTTATTTTTTAAAGACTTAGGGTCTAATTGTTAATGCAAAAATAGTATTTCTCAATAAGTAGACCAATATTTGTTGGTTTAAATACGAATTGAGAGGTTTCTATGATTTTATTTTGAGAAATATTGCCATTGGTCAATATCATATATACAGAAAACAAATAAAAAATTTTTTTCCCCAAAATGAGGCATTTCTGTACAGTAAAACCTGTAGCTAACCAAATAAGGTCATTTTCAGATTCAGCGCCCTCAAATTAGCTAAAAAAGATGTTTAGGGCCTCGACATCATTTCAATTTTTTTTTTTTTTTTGACCAGTGTAATTTTTTTTGATCAGTGTATTTTTTTTTACCAGTGTAATTTTTTTTTTTTTTTTTGACCAGTGTAATTTTTTTTTTTTTTGACCAGTGTAATTTTTAGTTGTCAACACGATTAAAGAGATGGTCGTTAATGGAATGTTATTCTTTTACAACTGCAGTATCGATTTATTGATTTGTCATTTTAACAGCATACCAACTCATTCATGGGTCATTTATTGCCAAAATTTAATTTTCTTGGAAGCTCTGAAATAATAAAAAAATATGATATATGTTATTCTGCTTTCACAAGTCAATACATGGTAGATGATACTCAGCTTTTGTGCATAGACATGTTTGTGTGAACATAATTACTAGACATGTTGATATGTGTATTTTATATTGTAGTTTTGTTGAAGTTATATTTTGAAGTACAGTTTGATTTCTTTAAGAAATTGTAGTATATAATATGGACTAATGTCATGAAAGAGTAGTTCTTTCATGTTGGTTATTTGATTTTGTTTCGTGATATATCAACCTCTCTGTGTTATTTAATGCTGAAATCTAAATATTTTGTATGTAATGTTATGCTTTCATCTAGTGATATTTTATACATAATTGTATAATTTCAGAGTAAAGGTATATTTTTTAAATATATATTGTGTAGATTATAAAATGTATTGTTGGTAATTTTACTATAAAAATGTACTGTTGATTTTTGCTTGGAGGTTCACTATTTGCCCATAGCTAGGATCCTAACAGGTGCTACCACCCCGGGCCATGGTGGACCTGGGGACAACAGTAATTAAGAGGTTGTTTCACGTTCCTAAAAACCTCCAATCTCCTGGTGAGAGGTCTTGCTGCCGGATGTAGTTTATCGTCATATCCAGGACGATCAGTATATGAATTAGGTTTATTTAAATAATAATAATAATAATAATAAATGTCCTGATGGCTTCTGATCTTAATTTATTGGGGGCCTTAATATGCATATATTTCTTGGTTAAAAAATGAAATAGATAAATATCCTGACCATTTATCACGTTGAAACCCGAAGTTAAGCAACGTTGAGTAGTCAGTACCTAGATGGGTGACCGCTTGGACAGCTTGGTTGTATAGATAATGTAATGGATAATGACTCAGAACTGGAAATCGGAAAATCGAGTTTCATTTCCAGTTGGGCTCGTTATACTTACTTACACGCAAATACCGTTGGCATAGGAATGAATCCACTTCTC